AGAGAGAGAGAGAGACAGAGAGAGAGAGAGAGAGAGAGAGAGAGAGAGAGACAGAGAGAGGAATAGATTCACATACACTCATACGCAAAGGAAGGAAGGGAAGAAAGAAAGAATTTGGAAAACAATTTGGTAGTTATTTGAAATATTGAGTACAGGGTTACCACATGGCAATTCCTTTCCTAGATACAAGAGCAAACCCTCTAACATCCTGAACAGAAATAATCTGAACAATATTATTTATAATAGGAAGCAAGTGGGAACAATTCAAATGTCGGTTAACTGACTAATGGCACAATACAGATGTACAATAGAATATTGTTTGGCCTAAAGAGGAATGAAGTTCTGATACACGTTACAACATGGGTAAAGCCTGAATACATTGTACCAAAGGTAAAATGCCAGACAGAACATGCCATGCATTATATATTTACATTTACATTGAATGCTCAGAATAGGCAAATTCACAAAGACATAAAATAGTTGAAGGTTTTTAGGAAACATAAGTAATGACTAATGGCGTAAGGGTCTTTGGGGTCCAGTGTTGAAAACACTCCAAAACATCAGTTCATTGGAGATCCCAGTGTACATGAGATCAGTGTGTGGGATGTAACTGTTTGTCCTCGTGGGATGGGGCAGAACAGCTGTGAAGAGGGGCTAAGTGGAGAAAGCACTGTAAATCAGCATCTGGAATGCTCCTCTTCTTCCACAGCCAACAATATTCTCAGAAAAAAAAATTATCTCACCAGAGAATCCATGTTTTCCAGTAAACTTCCTCAGGTTGCCCTTGATATCCTTGTTTCTCAGGCTGTAGATGATGGGGTTCAACATGGGGGTCACAACACAGAAGAGCACAGACACCAGGATATCCATGTCCAGGGAGTAGCCTTCCCTGGGTCTGTCATAGTTGAAGTTGGCTGTTCCAAAGAAAACCACCACCACAGTGAGGTGGGAAGCACAGGTGGAGAAGGCCTTTCTCCTGCCCTGAGCAGAGGGGATCCTAAGGATGGCAGAGATGATGAGCATGTAGGAGCCTGCAGTGAACAGGCAGGGGCTCAGGCCGATGGTGGCACTGGCCACGTGGAGCACAGACTCATTGACAGAGGTGTCTGAGCACGAGAGCTTGAGGAGCAGTGGGATGTCACAGAGAAAGTGGTTGATCTGATTGGGTCCACACAGGGTGAGTGTAGCTGCCAGTGCTGTGTGGGTCACAGAATTCACCAAGCCACAGAGCCAGGACCCAGCCACCAAGCAGACACAGACCTCCACACTCATGAGAACCGGGTACTGAAGGGGGTGGCAAATGGCCACATAGTGGTTGTGAGCTATGGAAACCCACCAATGCTCACTGCTTCTATCACAAGCAAAAAGACATGGGAGACAAGGGCTTCTCAGGGCCAGGTCTTCTTTTTCTAGCATTACCTTGACTATGGTATAGTTCATTTCTAAGACATTCAAGTTATGGGTGAAATAACACTTGGAATGTATTGAAATAATACTTGGAGGGAAAGACTGACAATATTCACAGTTCCCAGAAAATTTGCCAGTTAAATGAATTGAAGACCACTAAGACCAGGAAAAATGGCTCCTGTACTTCAAGATGGCAGGAAATTCTATAAGCTTAATTTAGTCACTGTGTGAGTTTCCATTTCTTTGAATTCTGCCTCAAATTGAGTGATAATTTGTAAGTAAAAATTTAAAACAATAAGATAGGATGACTATTGTAGAATATTATTTTAAGAGGTGTAACATTTGTTTATGCTGTGGGACATTTGCTTTAATGATGCAAAGATGTATTGCATTCTTTTATGTTGCATATGTTTAACTCTGTGAAGCTGTGTTACTGTGCCTGTCTAAAACACGTGATTGGTCTAATAAAGAGCTGAATGTCCAATAGCAAGGCAAGAGAAAGGATAGGCAGGGCTGGCAGGCAGAGAGAATATATAGAAAATCTGGGAGGGAAAAAAAAGGAAAGAGCACAAGAACAAGAAGAGGAGGATGCTAGGGGCCAGCCACCCAGCCACCCAGCCACCCAGCCAGCCACGGAGTAAGAGTGAAAGTAAGATTACAGAAGTAAGAAAGGGAAAAGCCCAGAGGCAAAAGGTAGATGGGATAATTTAAAGTTAAGAAAAGGTAGCAAGAAACAAGCCAAGCTAAGGCTGGGCATTTATAATTAAGAATAAGTCTCCGTGTGTGATTTATTTGGGAACTGGCTGGCGGGCCCCCAAAGGAACAAAAATAACCAACATCAGTAGGTGGCAAACACCTAGAGAGCTGACTGATCCTTCATTTCTTAGATTAAGTAACATTCTCCAGATACTGTAGCTTGACTCTGAGAACAGAGTCATTCCTGTGGGGGCCCCTTTGTTGTCATGGTCCATGTGGCTCCAGTCCACAAGAACGAAAGGGCAGAAGAGATGACAGACATCCTTGGATGGTCCATGAACACAATGGAGACAGCCCTCTGGGAGATGACTTCAGTGAATCAGCTCAGCTTTATTCCAGAGTATAGGGAAAATATATTATTGGGAAGCCTGGGGACAAACCCTAATTTGCATTAAGTGGCATGCTCCTGTCATAAGGCTTCGTCTGTGGCAGCGGGGTCCTATAGCAAAGCTCCTAGTACAAGTCTTAGGTGCTGTATGTGCAGCAGGGGAGGCTTCTAGCGGGAAACTGTGCCAAGGGCCACCCTAGAGATCAATTAGGCAACTAAGCACTATGTCCATGAACAAGCATGTACATTGTACCAAAAAACAGGTGTGGAGATCAGAGGGAAGCTTCTAGGAGTCAGCTCTTTTCTTCAGCTCTAGGTTCCAGTGATGAGACTCTGGTCCTTTGGCTCTACCCACTGAGCCAGCTGGCCAGCCAATACTACTTGATTTTGAAACAGTTTAGCTGAACTACAGCCACGCCCGTTCACTTACTACATACTGTGACTGTTTTATGCCCCAATGGCAGTAATGAGCAGTTAAGAAAGGGATCAAAAAGCCCACAATAATCTAAAGTATTTATTTTCTCGCCCTTTACAGAGAAAAGTTCCCCAACTCTTTGTATAAGTAATTTTGGGGAGAGTTATGACTTTGACAGTACTGTTTAATCTAATTTAAATTTCAAAACCATCACGTTGCCGCTTGTTAACCTTGACCTTGGCTGTTTACTTAGCTTCTAAAGTTTGAGCTTTGTCATGTTCAAGATGAAATAATGGGGGAATTACAGACTTTTTGTGAAAATTAAGTTAAGAAAGGAGTAACAGAGCAATGAAATGTTGGGAGGTGTCCCGTTGGGGAACACAGACGGTCTTAGGGTTCCTGTTGCTACCAGGAAACACCGTGACCGGAAAGCAAGTTGGGGAGGAAAGGATTTATTTGGCTTACACTTCCACATCACAGTTCATCATCAACGGAAGTCAGGACAGGAACTCCAACACAGCAGGAACCTGGAAGCAGGAGCTGACGCAGAGGCCACGGGAGAGGGCTGCTTACTGGCTTGCTCCTCATGCTTGCTCAGCCTGCTTCCTTATAGAACCCAGGACCCCCAGCCCAGGGATGGCACCACCCACAATGGGCTGAGCTCTCCCCATGCATCACTAGTTAAGAAAATGGCCTACAGCTGGGCCTTCAGGAGTCGCTCTCAATCGAGGTTCCGTCCTTTCTGATGACTCTAGCTTGTGTCAAGTTGACATAAGAGGAGCCAGATCACACACTGTCCCCCCCTTCCTGCCTGTGTTCCACTTCACGCTCCTTTTTGTGGTGTTCTTTCTCCAGCTTAACTCATGACTGTTTTAGACACCCCTACCAGCTCCACCCAGAAACAACCAGGACATAATCAAATGCACACATTTTTCTTTTTCATAAAACAAACACGCGTGAGCAACCCTTACCTTCCGTCTTCTTGTGTCCTTGTTACGTATTCTGAACATATTGTTCTAGGATTCCAGTAAGGAAGGGAGGAAAGTGGATTTCATCACTGACAAGTTTTTTAGTAATTCGATTTCCTCTGAAAAAAATGGCAATATGACTCGGCAAGTCACACTGTAAAGTGTTTAATAAAATTAGGGCCAGTGCCTCTAAATTTCCTTCTCACGACATTCTCTCTCAGCTAGCAGCCTGAACTTGGCAGTGGCTGCCCCATTTCCTCTTGCCCTGCCTGTAGCTAAAGCTTCAGTGAATGCTGTTGACTCACTCTCTCAAATACACTCCAATGTATGAATTTATTCCTATTCCTGTGACCAAACACAAACAGAGTTTACCGGCTAGGTCCTTCTCATTCTTCAAGTCTCAGCTTGAATGTCACTCTTTTGAGATTTTTAGGTTGCGTTACACAGGATTACGTAAGGTCATATTCATGCAAGTGTACCCTGGACATTGAGCATGTCCCCATTCCCTGACCCTCTCTTGTCCACTCTCCCTCCCATTCGTCCCCTTGTTCTCTAGACACTGTCACTTCTGTTCTTATGCCGTGTGCACACACATGATTTTATGGCTTTATAAAGTTTAAGAACAGTAAGTGAGGGTGAATTAAATATTTGTTCTTCTGACACTGACCTAAATCACTTAACATGATTATTTCCAGTTGAATCCGTTCTCCTGGAAATGACAAAACTTCATTCCTCTTTATGGCTGAATATTACACTGTGATTATGAACCACACTCAAATGTGTTTTTACTTGTGTGTGTATGTGTGTGAACTCACGTGTGCATGTATTCACATGTGCCTGGGGAGACCAGAGGTCAATCTTGAGTGTCACTCTTCAGATATTACCCACCTTGGTTTTTTGTTTGTTTTTCTCAAGATTTATTTTATGTATGTTGTGTTCTCTCTGCATGTACACCTGCATGCCAGAAGAGGGCATCAGATCCCAGTATAGATGGCTGTAGAACTACCATGGGTTCCTGGGAATTGAACTCAGGACCTCTGGAAGAGCTGCCAATGCTCTTAACCTCTGAGCCATCTCTTCAGCCCCTAACCCTGTTTTTTTTGACACAAATCTCTCAGTGATTGTAGAGCTCACCAAGCAGACGAAGATGTTCTGCTAGTTAGTTCCAGAGCCCTGTCTCCACCCCTCCGGCACACACCACATCCTCAACTTCTTTTCATAGAGTCTAGAGCTCCAGCTTGGGTCCTAAAACTTGTATGGTGAATATTGACTAAACCACCTCCCCAGCTTCAAGCCCTGTTTTCTTCATAGCTGGTTCTTTAAAGAGGCTGTTCCAAGTAGCACTATGGTAAATGGTGATGCACTGTCTCTCTGTGCTGTGTTGACTTAGAGTCATTTGGGTAATACCTAAGAATGATACAGCTTGATCTACATTTATTTCTTTGAGGAGTCTCCACATGGAGTTCCATAGTGGCTGGGCTTGTTTATGATCCCAGCGGCATGTGTCAAGGGTTCCCTTTGCCCACTTTCCAGCACTTGTTTACTTGATGACTAGCATTCTGATGGGATGAGATGGAATCTTGGTGCCTTTTTATTGCGTTTCTTTAATGGCCCTTGGCATCCAATCTCTTGAGAGCTGTCTGCTTTATTTATTGATTAGGTTCTTTGGTTTTTGGCGTTTAGTTGTTCTAGTTCTCTGTGTATTCTGAATATTGACCATCTGTTAGATTTCCCTCCATTCTGTAGCTGTCTCTTCATTCAATGGATTGTTTTTGGTTCATAAGCTTTTTAATTTCTTTTTTATTGGAAATAGATTTTTCTCATACAATATATTCTGATTACAGTTTCCCCTCCCCCAACTCTTCACAGGTCCTCCTTACTTCTTCACCCGCCCAAATCCATACCCTTTCTTTCTTTCTTTCTCTCATTAGAATACAGACAGGCATCTAAAAATACTGACAAGATAAAATAAGAAAAAATGAAGGCAAACAGACCAGAATAAGACAAAACAAACAAACAAAAACAAAGAACCAAAGGAAAAACATACAAAACACATATAAACTCAGAGACACAGATGTTCACACATACAGAAATGCCATAAAAACACAAAACAACAATAACAACAACAACAAAAAAAACGTAATATATACACAAAGGACCTGAAGGAAGGAACATCTGCGAGTGGTCTTCAGTTGGAGATAGTGTCTAGTTTAGAGACAAGGGTGCTTTTTAATTTCTTGAAACTCTGTCACCTGCTGTCACATCGCCCTGAGTCACTGGGATCATTCAGAAAGTGTCTCTCTAAACCTTGAAGTGTCTCTCTGAGTTTCCTTCTATCAGTTTTAGAGTTTCAGGTCTTGCATTAAAGTTTTGATCTGTGTAAGGTTTATTTTGTACAAAGTGAGATTTAAGAATCGAGTTTCATTCTTCTTTTATTTTAAATATATTTTATTTTTATTTTCTGTCTGTGAATATTTTGCCCGCTCAGGCCCATGGAGGTCAGAAGACCTCATCTGATTCCCTGAACCTGGATTTAAGGATGCTGTGAGCCACCACTGGGTGCTGG